CGTAATATACCAATTAATTCCTATACTTACATATAACACACACACCTATGTACGTGCAAACTTTGCATACGAATTCTTCAGAGCAAGCAAAAGCACCAACAACTATGACACGAACGCACCTGAAAGATTGGTCGATAAAAAAGTACTTAAGCAAAATTGCAGATCGGCACAACAACAATGCTTAACTAGAACACGATTGACCTGAAGAATTGGTAAACAAAAAAGTACTTAAGGTGTGACATTTTCATAGAGTTTAAGTTTGGGTGAAGTGTAAACTAAAGTGATCAAAAATAAATAAAACCAAAGGGATTAAAAATAAGTAAAACCAAAGAGATCAAGATTGTTTTATTTAAGGAGTGCCCACAGGGTAATAACTGGCGCCCAACGTGGAGCAATGAAGTTAAAAATTGATATATTGAAAATTAAGCGAAAATTCTAAGTAAAACAAAAACTAAAGAAGTTCAATGAAGAACTTTACAAGTGTGGAAATTAAATATGCTTCAAAACATTGTATGTGAACAAACTTTAAATGATAATCCGAACGTGAAATAATTGGTGAAAAAAAACTTAAAAAAATAGAGATACAAAGTAAAATTTTGGTAGAAGTGTGAATGCTTTAAAACGTTGAATTCGTTGAATAAAAGAATTCTGCCGAAATAATTGTCCAAATCTGAAGGTTAAATAAAGATTCAGTGCTTTGAGTAAAAAGAACTGAACACGAAATAGTTCTAGCATAAAGCTAGGTGCTAGTTGAACGAAAATTCAGACAAAAATAAGTGAGAGGAAATATTTTTTAAAAATGTGAAGATTAAAAATGCTTCGAAACATTGAATAAATATCGAATCCCGTAAATAATAAACAAATTGAACAAGAAATATTTCTGACACAAAAGTTTAAAACAGATATGCTAGATTGTGAATGAAGTAACTCGACAAAAATAGGTGAAAGGAATATTTTATGCCTTAAAACATCGAATGTAATTTGAACATTGAAGAAGCTAGTGACCAACTACAACAAAAAAAGTGTGAACATTATACCCTCTCAAAACGTAACGAAATAAGAAGATGAGAAATCGAGTTCCAAGAATTATTTTGAACAATAAACTAAACCGAAAAAACCAAACCTTGGTAATCTAAATTACAAACACGCATACAAAACCTGAAACAGTTACAAACAAAAACGAAAGCAACGTCTATTGAAACAATATACTACCAATTAGTTAGTCTACCAACCAGAGTCCAACGCAAAAGGCTACTTTATATCAGCTTCAAGAAAACAACAGATATTACAACAAGTAACCTAGAGGAGCAGCTAAAACCTTGCAAGACAAAAACTTCATTGCCATCAAGAACGGATCCACACAATTTAAGTATAAAATTGCTTTAAATTTCTTGTTATTAATACCATAGGGTACTCTTTATGAATTTGTACAACGATTTTGGGTTGCTGTGCCCAAACGTGTGAATCGAATCAAAAAACTTTTACACACACTTGTAGACAACAGTTCACGCTTTATTACAAAAATTTAGTTTACTAAATCTGTGCACTAATTTAACAATAAGGTCGGTTGGAAATATGGTATTTGTTGCAAATTTTTGTTATAAATTTGTATATACATTTTTATATACAAGATATTTTTATAAAACACCCAGTAACCAAAATAGACATCACTGGGGCGGCAGCCCCAGGTTTACCACACAGAAAGGGAATTCTAGTTACCTCATCCTTTCCCAAGGTTATGTCACATAGAAGGGAGAATTCTACGTAGTAAGGGTTATAATCCCTACGCCTAAGCCGAAGGCCGCCTACGCAGAAAGGTGTTCTCTGCAAAGGTGTTCAAGGGGTGACTTTCATAAAGCGGCGTTCATCCTCCTTCGTTTAGGGGGGGTTTGGGTAGCCACGCCAGATTTGCACTTAGCTACTGCAACGAAGGCTCAGAAGAGTACTATATTGCGATGGGGATTTTACGTAATAAAATAACGTCAGTAGCTAATGAAAATCTTAGCGCTTTCAATACACCGCTTAACTTTAAAGTCATAATTTTGAGATTAGACCAATTGTATGCATATAAGCGCCCACTACGTATTTTAGAAAATCAACTCAACACTTCGAGACAGGGACGAATGTCCATTAATGAGTATTACGAGACCGCGGACAAACAACTTACATTAATAATTAACAACAACATTATGACATACAGTAATAATGAGCAACTGACCAATGAATTTAATGACAAAACTAGAGAAAACGCTCTTAGAGTATTTATTTCTGGTCTGAGACGCCCACTTTGCGATACGCTTTTCTCAGCCAATCCCCCAGATCTACCTACTGCACTTGCCATAGCAGAAGAATTGCAGCAACCAACAAAGATACGAGTTCGCTGAAACATATGCTGCACCTAGTATGCCACAAATTAACCGATCAACATCTCTTTTACCACGTTTAAATAACATTACTCCCCACACTGGCCGAACATCCCAAAATTATACTACCCAAAATACTGTTCCAATGGATGTTGATCCTGGAAGTTCTTGCTTTAGAAAAAACAGTGACTTAAAAAATAATCCAATGAGTTCATCAGGTCGGGGTAACTCTCAACAGGTAATCCGTCAGCGAAGTAATCACTCGAATTCATACCAGCAACGAACTCATCCACAAACAAATAATTTTTCTGCGCCACATCAGCAATACAGCAAGTGCAAGTGAGCAGCTATAAAACTTTTGGTGTTATTCGGCTGCACACACAAGTATTTTCTGAAGGTCTGAAGTCGGCTTTTTATGGACGAGAGAGAGAAGGGAGTAACTTCGCCCAGGCACGTCAGGGGGCATCTCTACGAACTGACGGAAGAAGTCCACAGGTTCATTAAACAACCTTCATGGAGCTTGACGACAACGACTGAGATATTAACCGATCTGGGCGGAGTTGTTGTAGCCGCTACAACAACAACAAAAACAACAACAAGAGAGTAGAATTTCACCTCCGCAATTTCAGACCGAGAAAATTGCGATATTACATATGTATATAACTTGAAGCTGCTTTCTTCGTCTGAAAAGCCTGGTGTATTTTTGCACGTTGGGCTTTTCAGACGGTCTCGAAAAGGCTAGTGTGTACAGGCTAAATATTCACATGCTTAATCCAATAACGGATAATTTAAAATATTTATAAAAATGTATTTTGTCATAAGTCTGAAATAAAAAAATTACAAATCAGAAGGATAAAATGATATTGTGTTATTAAATCAAAAGTAAAAAAGTTGTGGTTTATTGACGAAGGGGGGAGGGGATCTAACTTAACAGCTGATAGTTTAAAGTCGGTTTAACCCAGCCAGATTGGGTGTTTAAACTTAGTTTAGACTAGGTTAAAATTTGACTGAAAAACTGCACACCGAGTTTAAACTTAGTTCAAACGACAAACGCAGTGAAAAACTGCGAAACAGAAAAATTAATCTATAAAAATAAAAATGCAGTTATCTATATTTGAATATTTAACACTTCATGGTCTGATCTTTTTTTGTGATTAATCTTTACAAATATTCTACCAATCAGCTTTTATTAATAAACTACCACTAATTTGGTTTCTGAAGTGACAACCCTGGTTTAGTTTTTTAAATTTTAAAATTCATATATGTTGACATAAATGTGAAAGTGTAAGGGAAAGAGTTGCCACTTTCCACTTTTCGGTAGGTTTTTATAATAAAAAAGCGTCAAAACGGGAAAACGCTCATTTGGTATCCCGGTATCAGTAAAAGTTCTTATGGAAGAATGTATGAAAACTCAACTTGCTTTAAATTCATATCGATAGCTTATAGTGAAAAGTTCTAAGTTCACTTTTATAAATTGTGCAGGAAAAAACTTATAGCCATTTTGTTCAGTATTTCGCAAAAGTTTGAATACCTACAATGTATTGCGTGTGTAAATCGAAGCAAAACTCTATACGTATCAGGATTAAAAGATTTCGTACTATTTTGGTCTTATCGAATTTTCAGTACCTCTTTTGGTTTTAGCAAATTTGCTTTCATTGTTTACAAACGAAAAAAAACTAAAACAAATGGATTTTTAATTTCTCTTGCTTCCTATCAGGGTTGAAAAATGGATATTTGAAATTGTACCTAATATCATAAAATAAATGTACCTAAATGAGACAGATTGTACCTAAAAAAGTTACATCATTCATTTGTAGTTTTTTTTTTATAAATGTCGTTTAAAACTTGTATACAAAAGATGGATGTTTTTTTTTTAACTGAGCCTATATCTATAGACTACATATAATCTAATGGGAATCGGAGGAGCGTTGTTTTTGTCTAATTTTGGCTACTGAAAAACGTTGGCGAAAAAGACAAAAAAAAAACACTTTGCGAAGTATACTTCTTTATCCAGCTTTTTATAAAACAATAGGAGAAGTCTGCTTATTTATCCGATTCCTTTTGATAGGTGCAGCAAGTCTAGAAAAAATAATCAAATTGCAGGAAGTAACTTCGAAAGCATTTTAAATATATTTCCAGAAATTAAAAAGCGAATATGGGTCAAATAGCTATAGTTCTCATCTAAAAAAAATATGAAATTTTAAGACATCCTAGACACTGAACTGTATGTGTGAATAAAGGCTGGTTTTCATTATGTCATATTTTGACAACAAAATTTGTCGCCATATTTTGACACAACTTTCTTTCCTTTATCCCTACCTTTATCGATGATATTATGGGCCAAAAACTTACAAATAGCCGCTTTAGCAGCGGATGTATACGCCTGAAGGCCTATTCTGATCTAAATCAATCAAAAGACCATCTTTTAGTCCCATTTGACAATTTGTTTTCACTCATTTGACCGCAAATGCCATTGAATTTGACTTAGTGAAAATAACCGTTAAAATTAATAAAAAAAGAAATACGAATTTGAGGATAGCTAAGCAAAGTGTTAATTTTTCGTAGTGGCTGCTCTAAATGCAATGTAAAATGTTTAAGATAATACATAATATGACTTTTTTAATTTCTCCTTTGACCACTTTTCTTTAGAATTGTTTATTTTTCAAAATGAAAGCAAAGTAAATATACTAGTGTTATATTCGAAAGCACACGCGTTGTAGTTAAGAGTAGATGAGAGACTGACTTTATTGAAAGAATAGAACTAAAACTAAGTATACAAAATGAGAATTAATTTGATGATATGAATGTGGTTTTACATGTGTATGTGAACATATTTTGAGTGGAGCTTATTTAGAGTATGCATACATATACAACAATATGAATATATATTTTGGAGTGAAATAAACTTTACATATATATCACATCTCCACCCTTTAATTTGATACTATGTTAAATAAATTCATTTTCTGATGTATGGCGGTGAGTACCGGTTAACCCCTCGACGTATTCGATTACTTCTGCGTAATGGTTTACCAGATTCAGGTTGATTGCTTGACCTAGGCGTTTGATCTTGGTTCACCGTTGCGTTGTTGTTATTGCTCGAAGGTAGCTCAGCGTTTTGTGGTACAATTTCCACTGCAGGTGTAGCGTGTTGTTCTGTCAGTTGTTCTGAACTACGGCGTCGATGTGAATTTGATGGTGATACGGTTGGGTATGTGTCATAGGTCTGTAAATTGTTAGGCGTTACCTCATTGGTTGCACTTTGCCTCAGCTTAAGTTGGTTTACATGGCGTTTTAGATAGCCTTGCAAAGTTTGTACAATGTACATCATATTTCCAACTTTTCTATTTATAATGGCTTCGACCCATTTTTCTCCTTTAGCGTAGTTTCGAGCATATACCTTTTGATTTTTTTCGTACTTTGTTATATGTTTCTGATTTGTTGTTGCTTTTCTCGGATGTTCAAAAAGTTGGCTCAGTAGTGTGCGCACTGGACGACCATGAAGTAACTCAGCTGGGGTCTTCCCGTTTAGATTAGGTGCAAATCGATATGAAGCGAGGTATCTTAAAACTGCAGATTTAGTTGGTAACCCGTCTTGAATATTTTTGCTGACTGATGTCTTGAATGATTGCACGAAACGCTCAGCTAATCCATTTGAAGCTGGGTGAAATGGCGCTATTGTATTGTGGGCTATTCCATGTAGCTTACAAAATTGCTGGAAGACATCTGAAATCAACTGAGGACCGTTATCGCTAACTAGAGTTTTAGGATATCCCTCAATCGCAAAAATAGCTGATAGTGCTGTAATTGTGTTTTCGGTTGTGGTCGATGGCATTTGTGTGACGAAAGGGAACTGTGAGTATGCATCGACGCATGTAAGCCACATTGAACCGAAAATCGGACCGGCAAAATCGATATGTATTCTTTCCCACGCAGTTGTAGCTTTTGGCCAGTTCTGATATTCAGAAACTGGGGCTGGATTATTTCGCTTGCATACATTGCATCCAGTTGCTTGCTGTGTTATGTCTGCGTCTACGCCTGGCCACCACACGTATTGACGTGCTAATTGCTTCATGCGTACTATTCCCCAATGTCCTTCATGTAGCATTTTGATAATATTTGGCTGCAAAGAGCGAGGAATCACTATTCGTGTAACATCGGTATGGAGGCATAGCATGTTGTCTATTTTTGTTATGGAAAGTTTCCGATTAAAATACGGCAAAATGTCTTGATCGCATTGTGGCAATTTTTCTGGCCAACCATTGGATACATAGTGCCATACCTTTTTTAGTAAGTTGTCCGCTTTTCTTCGTTCTTGGATAACTGCTGCGTTGATTGGTGGCGATAGGCTAGTGATGTTGTAGCAATTCTCTTGTTTATCGAAGTTTTCATCGGTGGGCATTGGTAAGCGTGAAAGTGCGTCTGCATTGCCATGCGCAGTTGTAGCGCGATATTTAATATCAAAATTGTACGCCATTAGTATTACAGCCCAACGTTGTAATCGGTTTGTTGTTGTTAACGGCAGATGCTTGCTAGGGTTGAAAATCGTAACCAGTGGCTTATGGTCTGTAATCAGCGTAAATTTTCTCCCGTAGAGATACTGATTAAAACGCTTTACCCCGAAGATAATTGATAAGCCTTCTTTTTCGATTTGGCTGTACTTAACTTGGTGTTTATCTAATGTTTTCGACGCAAAGGCTATAGGACGTTCGCAGCCATCTGGATGGATGTGCGATAACACTACGCCAATACCAAAAGAAGATGCATCAGTAGCAAGAACTAACGGTAAGCTTTCGTTAAAATGACTTAGTTGAGTAGCGTTTAAAATATGGTTTTTCAAAGCTGTGAAAGCTTCTTGCTGTGGTGCACCCCACTTAAATGGCACACCCTTTCTTCGTAGCTGGTTGAGCGGCGCAGCTAATTGTGAGTAATTAGGAATGAAATTGTGATAGTAATTCACTTTTCCCATAAAGGCTTCCAGTTCACGAAGATTTGCGGAAGGCTGCAGTGCCTTGACTGCTTGTATCCCTGAATGGTCCGGAAGGATCCCATTAGCATTAATGCGACGGCCTAAATACTCCATTTCTGTTTGGAAGAAGGAGCATTTCTCTTTCTTGCATCTTATTCCGTTGTCTTGTAAAATTTTCAATATTTGCTCAACTCTGCTGATATGCTGCTCAGTGGTGGGTGCTGTAATGATTATGTCATCTAAATAGTTTCCGCATCCTTCTATACCTGTCAGAAGTTGCTCTAAATAACGTTGAAAAATAGCCGGAGCGCTAGCTATACCGTAAGGCAAACGTTGGTATTGAAACAGACCGAGAGGCGTGTTTACAACCATTATCTGTTTCGAAGGCTCGTCTAGCATCATTTGTAAATATGCGTCCTTGAGGTCTATTTTTGAAAAATGCTTACCTTGACGTATCTTGTGTAAAAGGGCTTCGCGCGTTGGTAGTGGATACTGCTCAACGTCGATTTGTGAATTTACAGCTTGCTTAAAATCGCCGCAAATGCGTATGGAACCGTCTGGTTTTGGCGCAAGCACGATAGGAGAAGCCCAATTACTAAATTTTATCGGTTTCCAAATACCGGCTTCCGTAAGTCTGTTTGCTTCAGCTTTAAACTTGGCCATTTGTGCAAATGGTATTTGCCTTGACTTGTAAAACTTTGGTGTAGCGTTTGGCTTAAGTACCACACTCGCTTTAAAATCTTTTATCGCTCCGAGAGCAGGTTCAAACACTTCTTTGTATTTTCGACTTAATTCTGTTATTTGCAGTGTTAGTTCTACTTCGACGTTCGAAACTTGTTGAATTTCAAACGCAAAAGCTTTGAATAAATCTAAACCGAATAAATTGTTACATTTCTCAATGCTGGTCAGAATCAGCGTAATTTGTTTTGATTTATTTCCACAATTTGCGACAGTGTTCAACTCGCCCAAGATCGGAATTGGTTGTTGCCCGAATGCATGTAAAATACGATTACACTTAGTTAGCTGTGGGCTATTTAGCTGTTTATACGTAGTATAATTAAAAACAGACACTGTTGCTCCGGAGTCCATTTGAAATGCAACTATTTTATTTAAAAGCTCGACATCAATAATATTTTTATTTGATTCAACTTTTACGACTCCTGTCAAACTATAAATTTCTTCGATCGCGTCTACGGTATTTGCGCTTTTGGCTTTGTGTTTTTGCGTACTCGCTACTTTGTTTTTGTTATTAGCACTTTTCACTTCATCGTGATTCTTTTTATTCTTGTTTTTCATGCAAACAGCGGCTATGTGGCCTTTTCTACCACAGTTGTGACAATTGGCATTACGGAACTTACACTTGTCTCGCGAATGGGACTGTCCGCAACCCGTACAAGATTTAAGATTAGATTTGTTTGGTAGCTCGCCACTTTTTGTTTTACTTTGCTGTTTGTTTGCCTGCACATAGTTGATTGCCTTTTCGCTATTTTCTTTTATTGTTGCGACCGTTTTTGTTGTTGTTTCATACGTCTCCGCTATTACTAGCACATCTTCAAGTTTTGGTTGCAATTTTTGAAGCGCAGCGACACGAACTGAATCGTAAGGTGTGTGGACAATAATTTGATCGCGAATCATATCATCGACAAAGTTTGACGTACACCCTGCTGTAGAGCACACAAAATGACATTCGCGCGCAATTCCCTTAAGGTCGGCAACCCAATCTCTATGTGTTTGTGAGTCTTTCATCGTCCTCTTGAAAAAATCGTACCGGGCAGCAACAATGTGTCTCTTCATTTGGAATTGCTCCGTTAACTTGTCGATTAACTGTTTGTACGAAAATGTTAGAAGAATATCGGTTCCAAATAAATTTTTCAATAGTTCATAGACATCTGAACCAATCCACGATAAAAAATATGCTTTCTTTTTCTCCTCATCCCCGACGGAATAAGCAAGAAAATGCTGTGTTAACTGTTGCGTATATGACTCCCAATTTTGTAAGTCCTTGTTGAAGTTGTGAAATGGTGGACAATTCACCGATTCACTTGCGCTACGACCTGAACCAGCAGTCCTTTCCACAAACGATTGCATCCACTTTTGCTGTTCCACTATAAGGGCCTTTGTGAATTGCTGCTGTTGCTCCAGCAAAGCTGCAAAATTTTCGTTCGCCATCTTGCTATTTTATTTATTTTCCACCGGCACGAATATTCTTTTTTTTTTTTTTTTTTTTTTTTTTTTTTTTTTTTCTCC